TCTTTAACCAATTAACTGCATTATATAATGTTGGATGATACCAGTGCGGTGGAGAGCTTGAGTTATAAAAAAATGCACCAAGTTCTCCAGAATATATCGCTAATGCACGAATATTGCGCGAATAGCCAAAGGAACCTGTAAAGTGTCTGTAATTTATATAAGAATTGCTTCCTGCATGTCTTCCTAGTGAGCATTGTAAATGTATAGGTGATAAGAACTGACGATTATACATTGGAACTATTGCAATTTCGTTAGGAATTGGTAATAGGTTTGGAGGTAGAGGTTTGTTCCGTTTGCGTTTGCATGAATTGCACACGGCTATTTTGGATATATTTGAGTTTGGATGAAAATATAACTTTTGATTTGGAAATTGACGAGTTAATGGATATTCAAAATTTTCATTGAATAATTCCCATGATATTTCTGAAGTATACATTAGAATAGAACAATGGGCGCATGCAACGCCTGGAAAATCATAAAAGATTACATCGTGTAGATGATTTTTGAGTTTTATTAAATTTGAAGTTGGTCTCCAAAATGTTATATTTTGCGAAGTATTTTCAGAGTTTAAAAGTTGATTATCGTAGTCATTGATTAAGTCCTCATATTCAAGATTAACAAGGTCATTTACATTGTAATAGTAAAAAGTATAAGTTGACATTGCGATGAATAAAGTTGCTTTGTTAAAGTGAGAAACTTATGTTTAAATCGTGATTAGTAACTTTTTATGTATTATATTTGTCTTATTATTATTTATGCATATATGCACTTACTCACATTTTATTTAAATGACTTGGTGTGATTTAGAATGTCGGCTGTAAATAGAGTATTTTAATCAGGTTTCAATTACATGTGGGATTAGATTTAAGAATCGTATGCATAGTTTATATAAGCTTTTTTTTATAGGTACTGTATATGATTTCATGGACATGCGTGTCTGTGAAACCAGATAATAGCATTGAATAGTAGGCTGTAAAGCATTTGAACTGTGCCATTTTATATAGTAAGAATTTTAAATAACTGGTAAAGACTGGTTATAAACGTGAATTTTAAGTTAATAATAGTATCATGTTAGGATTTATTTGAATGATCGATTCTATTTGGAATATTTTAATTAATATTATTAATTTGGTAAATAGTTTGGTTATCGTTATTGTAAATATATATTGAAATGAAAAGTAACAAAATAAGTCGGTAAATTTGTTGTAGAATTTACATTGAATATTACCTATTTTCTTATCACTACAAAGATGCCATGTTACGGAAATACTATCGTAAAAATTATCCAAATTCGACAGTCTATAAAAGAAAGTATCAATTGTACCATTGTGTGGGCTATTGGTACTTATCCTGTCGAACAAGAAGATAATGATATTGAATTGGTTATGTTTGTACCTATTAACTTAAATGATAGAGATCCTGACAGTCAAGCAATATTTGAAAAAAATAAATATTATGCTATCAGTGGAAAGATTGTACCTGAAAACTATCGTGGTGTTAAAAGGCTAAAGGTGTTGTTTGAACGTTTGTTATTGTTTGTAAAACTATGCAATTGTGCTTATTTAATTTTATTTATTAGATGACGGTCGCAACTTCAACATATATTAATATCAATAAGGAACCTAATTCAAATAATTGTCCATTAAAAATATCTTTAGTTGGAGTGGCACAAGGTGAACCTCAAGAAGTTAAAAATGACGAAAATGCTATTATCAAAACTTTAGTCAATGATTATACAAATCAAGAGTATAATTTCACAGTTCATGTTACTTATCCACATCTTAGCTCACGATTTAGACATTTCAAAAATTCTATTCGGCCAAAGGAATCGATGTTATTTGTTGTCGGTGAAATGGAGGTTATTCAAGATGAATTGTATGTTTATGCAAGAGACATCAATTACATCGATACACATCTGGCAATTAAAAGACAGACATCCGAATCTAGTCATTCACAATTACCAATGACATCATCCAAGTTAACTCGCTCTAAGCTTTTGGCTACACATCGCAATATAATTGAAGAATCTGAAAAGGTTACAGAAATTCTGAATTCAACAAATTCAGATAATGTTAGTTTAAACCAATCAAACATGTCAGAATCTGATCATAAACCATCAAAACGTATTAAAACAAAGAAAGTAAGTGAAATCGCTAAAGATCTATTAGGAGTTGATGAATTAGAATTTGCAAATATTAGTTATAAAAAAGATGACTCGCAAGCAGATCAGAGTTTGTCTGATAAATCTTACGAAGATGAAAAAACTGAAGAGTTAGTGATGGAGAGTAATAATAATAAAAAAAGTAATAAGCGTAGTTCTACAAAAGGGGTTCGTAACCGTGGAAGAGGAAGTAAGAATAAGGGATACAATACACGTAATACAAGAAAGGCATGTAGTACTAAACATGATGTGCATATCGTAAGTGATAATGATAACGGTGAGGAAGATAATAGTAAAGATTAAGTATATTTGAATATTTAGATCAAATCATATATTCAAGATATAAGCAGTTTCGTCTTTTTATTTTATTTTTGCAGTGTTTTGATTTATTTTATTTTGTTGTTATAGGGTTTAATTTATTTTATTTGATTTTATATTTTACAAATAAAATTTTAAGTTGGCTTAGTGAATTTGATTGAAATTTAATTTATTCGTTACTTGTATATGAGATTCGCTTCTTAATTTTGATTTATTCTTTTTTTTTTAAGTAAACACTACATCGTGAGCTGTTTTTATAAAATGAAATTTATATGCTTCTTAGTCTATTTAGTATAGCAATTTAGAGTCTCAAAGACGAATTTAATATAAATTTTACCATGAATTTATTGTTAGATCATTTATTATTAATGTTATTTCGTTCACATATCCACATGATAGATTTAATTTATCCAAATTTGTATAGGTTATATAGATTTTTCACGATTGCATACTGGCAATAAAGATCGGAACTGGTTTTATCTTTTTCAAGTTAAAATTGATTAAACTTGTTTTTATAATGATAATATAGGAAAAATAAACTGGTTCTAAACCTTAATTGACAATTCATTCTTTTTAAGATTTTCAAACATTAGCGTTAGTGATAATTGGGTTAAGTAATAATAAATTAATAAATAACCTTCTCGTGAATTCTTTCATTTAGCCTTTGTTACGGCAAGAGAGAGCTTTTATATTTTCCAGCTAAGTTTAACTCAGTACTGCAAGCATTAAATAAAAACTCCATAATTTACTTCAATACACGAAGACAAGAGAAAAATCCTAAAAAGCTTTATTAGTACAAGAAAGAATTTCTCCTTTTATACTAATTATTAGACTCTAACTATATAAAACGTCGTAATGATTGTCAAAGTATAATATAGGTTCGATTATTATCTAAGTTTAAGCTAAATTATTATAAAGTTACACAAGATAAAGTTTAATGTTAAAGATTACATCATTTTTCGTAACGACTTTCGCTATGGTCTTTGATGATCACTGATTATCAATTCATCTGCCCGGCAAAAAATTCGATTCGAAAAAAAAGAAAAATCGTGAATACTTGAAAACAAATACGTAAAACAGTATCAGAACAGTTCAAAAAATGATAGAATATAAACAAAATACTCACTAAAAAGTTTTTTTTTTAGTGTAAGACTACTACAGCTATGCAATAGTAGCATATTGCAAATTTGCATATTTCAAATACAGTATATTGCAAATATGCACATTGCAAATGCGGTATATTGCAAATTTGCGATAAATGCAATATAAAAATACTTTACGAAGATCCTATCCAAATCCATATAAATAGTTAGTGTACTTTCCAAAACCAGGAGGATCCGCCAATTATTACAAGAAATAAAGTTGCATTTTACGACAATCTATTCTAAATACATTACTGATCTACAGTTACACTTCAAAGTAATGTTTTATATGTTTTAACTATGGTTACTATTGACACACAGTAAATATAATACAAATATAATATAAATTTATTTTTATATTCATTATTTTGCTAGATAAGTAACTAAATAGGTCTATTATACTTTTTTTATTTTAATAACAATACTGATCTACCGATATTAATTATAAATCACCTATATATTTTATAGAAAACAAACAGACATATCAGAGGCATTGATCATTTGGTTAATGCCAAAGATAAAAACCTTGTTGCTCTTTTCCTAACAATGAGTTGGGACGATTTTAAAGCCGACCTTGAATTCATTATTAATATTAGTAGCTACCACTTGGACGAATTTTCTGAAACAGATATAAAAGGGCACAATTGGAACGCTGATTAAAAATTTTTCCAAAAACAAAAAGGCTAGTGATAATCATGTATTTCGTGTAAAGAATAAACCATGAAGATCCCAGAGGGTAAGCAATTATAATAAATATAATTATAATTATAATTATTATTTTTACATTTCTTTACTTTATGTAAATTAGGTTAAAAAAATTTTGCGGCTCGCTGATGAAGTAAGCAGAAATATTGCCAAAGTTAAGTGTACCAAAAAATGATGGTATAATGACCAGAGATGGGTTGATAAGTCTATACCACTAGACGATGCCCCCGCCTGAACCATTTCTTCTTCATATCATCCTGAAAGTGAAGACAATTAAGATGAAGAGGAAGATGAAGATGATGATAATGAACATGATGAACTAGAAGATAAAGGAAATGCCCTTAGGAATGGTAGTGAAAAGGAATAAAGAAAGAACTAATACTACCAATAGAGAAAACTAAAGTGAATTGAGAATTACTCAGACAAATTATTAATAATATATTTGTTTTTGTGTGTATTATCGCTTTTTTTTTACTTTGTAGTATTGCTTTTGTCTATTGCTTTTTTTTTACTTTGTAGTATTGCTTTGTCTATTGCTTTTTTTTAAAATTGTAATATTGCTTTTGAAATGATACAAATAAAATGTTTAATAAAGTATATTTAATTCTATTACTTTAATTAAAAATGTTTCAGTAACGTTTAATACAGTATAAGCAATAATTGGCATATATAAAAAATCCTATCAACTAAAGCAATATGCATATCGGTATATTTATATACTTTTGAAAGATATATTATATTACCGATATTTCTTTAAATAATAATAATATTACAACAAATAGTATACTATAAAGCTCTGATATTTCGATAAGTAGTTAATATCGGTGAACTAATATCAATATCGGCATTGCTGATATTGCCAGAAATTCCTTCGATAGAAATTCAAAAGGTATCTGATTCCTGTCAAACTCCAGATTAATATCAGATACCTTCTAGTTAAAAATTGGCAATTAATATTAGTACATCTTCAACTCACATTAGTACTCATATCAGTGCATATCAGCATCCTGATATTTCTTCGGTATGGCTTCTTTTGACCTGTAATAATATTCGTAATGTTGAAATATTCAATTACAACTAGTGTTCAAAAATGGATTAAAAATCTCAGTTAATCTGGGATTGATCTGAATCAAATCTGAATCCATAATTTGGATTGAATCTGTGATTGATTTGTGCCAATCTGACAGTTTAGTACATGTATTTGTTTCAATGTAAGTGATAAATTCTAATTTATCACATGACAAATTTGAATTTATCACTTATATTGTAGCACAAGATGTGATATATTCGAAATTATTATGTGACAAATTCAAATTTATTATATAGAGTAATTATATAAAGACATGACCTAAAATTAGACCCAATCCCGCTCAATTTGAACCCAATCTGATATTTTAGAAGCCAAATCTAATCTGATGGTTTGGGTCTGCACAAATTCAAATCTGATCCGTGCTGACTTTTTTGAACACTAATTACAACACCATATTTTAAATTATATTAAACACCTCAACAATTCAGATCTAATAAATATTAGCACTCATATTAGACTTCAACAATTACAAAATAATCTTTGGTCTCCTATTAGTATTCTATTACATTCAAATCTAATAACAAGCTCACTACCAACTTTAAGATTATTCAACTTTTTTAATACCTTGGTTTATCTATCCTATATAATCTGTCATCTTCTATACCATTCACTATTGCAGAATAAACATTATTAGAATCTATATTATCTTCCTACTCCAACTATACTACTACTTTTAAAAAACAGCTTAGATCTCATTCTATTATATTTTTAAAACAATTAATATCATTAACAACTCTTGTCTTCTTGATTGAAAATATATTTTATCACAAATAGGCAAACTGCCTAAAGAAAAAAAATTATCATGGTTTTTAACTCTAGAAGATCTAGCTATTAGTCACTCATGTATAAGAACACTTTATAATTATATCCAACTTCCTAGCTTTAACTATTATAGCTACACAACTGAATATTTTACTACACAAGCAAAACTTTAGATTATAACTACAATAAATGATCAAATTATTATTAAAAAAATATATAGACAACCTATATCATGTAGACATATTCTAATTATATATTGGTGTTGCTCTATCGAACTACAATTTACTCAGCTTTATTCTACACTTCTAATTACCTCTAAATATTGCACAAACTGCTCCTTAAACACCAATTTTATTGCAAACAATTGCACTATTTTAATTCTAATTAACTTAGCAACTAAGTTCTTTGGATAAATTAATCTATATAACAGATTACTTAATCTTAATGCAAATTATTTAGATCTTCTGTTTTCTATTGCTATATGGCATCTGCTTCAAATACTAACTACAAATGTTTCAATTTCTACTTCATTTATTCTACCACTTTTTTTAAAAATGCTCTTTAACAGAAACTTTACAGTTTATTGCTAACTATAATTTTAATTTATCAGAGCTCTCTTTTTATACAGATGGCTCAGTAATACAATTAAGCACACTTTAATGCTCTATAGAAATTGTATGGGCCCAAATTCAATATAATAAAGTCTAACATACTTTTCAAGCACAGATCAAATTATGGCTATACTCATTCAAAGCTAAACTTTTTACAATACTTTCTGCACTTATTACTGCACCTAGAAATTGTATAGTACATATTTACACAGACTTACAGTCAGTAATTTCCAAATACAACAACACTAGTCAAGCTCTACTTGATTTTTAATTTGCAAATACTCCATACTACTCATTATGATATACTTTAAATTTTTTTTTATTTATATAATGCTATAGTAGAAACTTTATTACAAATAGAAAAATAATTCAAAACTTAAAGATTTCTAACTACATTTGTGTTATATTTCTTATAAAATACTATAGTTAATTATTTCAAACTAATTTCTAGCTAGGATAGGTTGGAGAAGATCTAAGGTGATAGTCATAGCATTAAGTAAAGTATGCAGTTAAAGCATATCCTTATAAGAGCTATTTATTAATAAAGAGTTTAATATCTAAAGGTTGTATCATAATTAGAAAATTATTTAAAGAAGTAAATATATTTAGAAAGTAGGATTTTGTGCATTTAGCTTTAGTGGTAATATTTCAAGAGAGTTCTTATTGATGTTGATA